AGCACAATTTAATAAGAGTCACTCTGTCGTCTTTATTCAGTATAAACTGACATTTCATCCTTTTACTCTTCATTATTATATGGGATCGAGGTTTATGACCAAGCGTGTGGCCACTCCATTTCCCCGTATGGGTCCATCTAACAGCCTGGAACGATCCACAAAGCTGACGTGTCTGCCTTCTTCTTTTATGGAGCAGAAAGAAATTAGTCGAGGCCTTAAAGAAATTAGGCTATGGGGTCATAAGTCTGTAAAAGAATGAAAAGCCCTACCCCTACCTCGGTACTAGAGTTGCCTGCTTCAAGACTGTCAAAGTCATAAATCCTTTGGCAGCCAAAAGGGCAGGGCAGGGGCAGGGAGTAGGATGATGTATTTTTATACCCTTCCCTGCCACATCCATGAAGTTATCCTAAGGAGAACCTGGATCTCGTGGGCCTTTTATGCATAAGAAGGATTGCTGCAGCCTTTCACACAGGGCCACGGGTCCTTCTTCACATGTCCATAAACCCAGAATCTCTAAAAAGTCCAAAAAATATTTTTGAAGTTCTGCACAAGAATTCACGTAGAGGTAAATCTACAGGGAACTGATTTGAGGTTCCATCTTTATGTCACTAGATCTGATCAGTCGTATGTCACTTCAGAAATATTACTGTTTTACTCAGGGTGCTGCCCAGATCCTGTGGGGGTAGCTCACAAATGTCAGGGCCACCACATACTTTCTAAACCGTGGGAAGTTCTTCATTCTGAGACCAACAGGCACAAGGGTCCTTGGGGAAAAGATGCTGGGCACAGAAGAGTGGAGAATCACAAAGGACCTAAATGCTCATCAACAAGGGGCTGGTTAAATACATTTGGAAATCCATGGGATGAAATTTTATAAGGCCATTAAAAATTTACAAGTTGATGAAGGAAATGAGCACATGACTTAAAGGTGAATTTTAAAAGCAAGTGATAGACTAGCACATACATGGGGTCCAGACCTGGTTCTATGTGCAATTGTGTAGAGAAACCATGGATGGTGGGCGAAGCACCTAGGCCCCAGTGGTAGTTACCTCTGGGTGTGTGGATTTCACCGTTTTTGTCTGCCTTTTCCATGCAATTTGACGTTTCTTTTTTTCTTTCCTTTTTCTTTCATTGTTTCTTTTTTTTTGGCACCAGGGATTGAACTCAGGGGTGCTTAATCACTGACTCACATTCCCCAGCCCTTTTTATTTTCTATTTTGAGACAGGATTTCACTTAGTTGCTTAGCCTCACTCAGTTGCTGAGGCTGGCCTTGAACTTGCAATCCTCTTGCCTCAGCCTCCCAAGGACGTTCCTTTTAACACAAACAGGTATAGCTTAAGAGACAGGGAGAAAAAACAACCTAGGCTCCTCTGCAAGGGTGTCATATGTACAGACCCCATTCAGAGGCCTCCAGAGATACTCACTGCATTGACTGAGACACCTGTCCCCAAAGACATGGCCCTGTAGAGACCCTAAGACACTGAAGAGCACAGGTATCCAACCGAACAATAACAAGCACGCAAGCTCAAATGGCTCAAAGAAAACCTGATAACAATTAGTTTTTTTGTGGCTGGTTTCTCTGCCTCCACAACCATACCTCAGGGCCATACTTTTTAGGTAGATCCCTCCTTCCCCTGTGAGCAATCATGTTTTCACATCAAATATCTATTTCAACCTTAGACTATATCAACAGAGGGAAGGCGAGTGTAATAATTAAGAGTTCCAATCAGGACCCAGGTTTTTGCTTGAGAGATAGTCCCAATTATACCATTTACTAGCTATGTATTTTGGAAGTTCTCTTTTGGGGGGCTGGGGATTGAATCCAGGGGTGCTTTACCACTGGGCTACATTCCTAACACTTCCTAAATTTTATTTTGAGAGGATGTCACCAAATTGTCCAGGCCGGCCTCAAACTTTAAATCCCCCCCCCCCCCACCGCTTCATCCTCCTGAGTAGCTGGGATTACAGGTGTGTGCCTCTGCACCCAATTCTTTTGGAAATTCTTTAACCTCTTTATGCTTTAATTTTCCATTTGTAAAATGGGTCTAATAATTCCTACATTATAGGTTTGCTGTGAAGATTAAATGAGTAGATAGGCAAAGGACTGATACATAGTAAAATTCAGTTTATGGTAGCAGTCTCCATTATAATTTTCCACTGCTCAGACCAAGGCTGCAGGTGTGTGGTCAGGTGTAGGAATGATTTTTAAGAAGAATAAAGGCCAGGGGCTGGAGTTGTGGCTCAGTGGTAGAGCGCTCGTCTAACATGTGCGGGTCCCTGGATTCGATCCTCAGCACCACATAAAAATAAAATAAAGGTTTTGTGTCCAACTACAACTAAAACAAACAAACAAACAAGTATGTATATATAAAGAATAAAGGCCACAGGCACTGGGAAGAAACCAGACGGGAAGACAGGTCGGTGATGTCATAAGAGAATCAAAGCAGGTTAGAGAAGAAAAGCAGGGGGAGGAGGTGCAGGCTGTCTTCTAACACCTGAAGGGCTGACCTGGAAGGGACCCTGGTGTCCTCCACTCCTCCCCAGCAATGGCTATCAACTGCTCTGAGATGACTGTGTACACAGAGCTTGCAGCCTTGTCCAGAGAATTTCTGCGGAGAAATTGGAATGGCAAGGAAGGTCCTGGTGACCCGTCACCCTGCCTGGCCTTTAGCATGAGTGAGAAGTCACCAGTAAACCCAGAGGCAGAGCTACACTGCACAGAAGGGAAACCTCCCCCTGGATAGACCCCCAGTCAGAACGTGCCTCCCAGCAGCAGCGAGCAACCTGTCACTAGGGGGACGCAGGCAGAGGTCGGTGAGCTCTTAGGAGGGCATTTAACCTTCTGTGCCTGAACAACACTGCAAGTGAGAATCTATGGGTGCCCCCTTGACCCAGTGATGCTGGGCTCCATCTTTTAGGACTTCCTGTGGGTTCAGTAATACATGCCTTTGAATGGACCCAGGAGTGGTGGCCCTTCGGCCCATGCAGGTGGATCTAATGGAGAGGAAACAGCTTGTGGGTTTCTGGGCACTGAGTCTGATGACTGCGCTGGGGGTTATTAGACAGCACAGCGTTGTACTGGTGAGTAACAGGGCTGCTTGCCTGTGTGTCTGGTACCCTCACTCTGGGGCGAGACCTATCTGAGTCCTGTTCATCAGCGCAAGAACTAACCACATTTGCACTGATTGGTGATTCACATTCGCCCGGGGTCCCTGAGAGGCGGGCTGCGGTTCAGTCTGTGACGCGCTGCCCCTGGCAGGGAGCCAGCAGTAGACCATCCCAGGAGGGCTCTCCTCCTCCAGCTTAGATGGTTCTTCATCAAAGATTCATTGTAAGCCATGTTATGGGAAACAAAGCATGGACGAGGGGGGAGCCTTTAGACATGTCACCCAACACATTTCCTGTAGTTCTAGTCCACAGAAAACTGGTTGAACGTGCCCTGAACTCACATGTCCCTGGGGTTCACTTTTCCTTGTCTGGCCCTCTTCTCGGTGACAGCCCACCTCAAAGTGCCAGACCAGGTGAAAGCAGGAGACCACCATGGCCACTGGGGAGTCTTCACACTTTAGAGAGGGTCTCTTGGATACCCCAATTGGATCCTGGGTTCCCTAGGCCAAGATAATCACCAAGACACAAAGCCACACACCCAGTGGCCTTGCTTTGGCCAGCATGTTCTCAGACTCTGGGAGGACAGGGGGCTCCACACAAGGCCTTTGGAAAAAAGGACCATAAGTAGGGCTGGGGTTGTGGCTCAGTGGCAGAGAACTTGCCTCGCACATGGGAGGCACTGGGTTCGATTCTCAGCACCACATGAAAATAAGCAAACAAAATAAAGATATTGTATCCATGTATAACTCAAAAAATATTTAAAAAAAAAAGAAAATAAAAGGACCATAAGAGGAAGCTTCCACCCCAGCAGAGGGAGTGAGAGAGGGCAAGAGACCCCAGGAGACCAGCATGGACCCAGGTTCTCATGACTTGCTCTCTCCGGGTTTTCATGACCATCACAGTCAGTATGGGGTAAGGAACGTGGAGGTGGCTCCCCAAGATGGGTAAATTGTGGGGCTTAGATCCCTAGTGGATTAGCTTGGCTGTGGTGTCTACCCAAGTCACCATTAAAAAACACTCTACCCCAGAACAAAGCCGGAAGGAACTTGGGCTTCAGCACTAGTCAGGGCCTTTTGAAAATCAAATAAGATGGTGACATTAACCAACCACTGACTGACTGCAGAGTGTGCCCATGGAAAGGGGTCACTGGGGGAAATGAGTGGAGAGGGGAAGGATCTTTATTCAACTTGGGTCTTGGAAGAGAATTCCCCAGGTAGCTGCCAGGTACACCTCATCCTCTTGGTGACCAGCCGCATAGTAGAGATGACACCCCAGGCTATTGTGGGTCACTGGTTAGCCCCAAGAGCACCCTCCTCATTCCATGTTCACCAGGAAGCTTCCCAGGAGAATGTGAACCATCTATGCACAAGGATGAAGGAACACAATGACCTGCTCCCACGAGCGTTCCCTTCTCCTACCTTTAGGGGCACAGAGATATCTCAGTGTCCACCAGTCTCATAAATCAGTCCCCCTGTGCCTCTGTGGACACCCAGAAAACTAAGCCTTTGTACCAGCAAAGCCAAGGACAAACTAGATCACGGTAACCTCCAGCGCCTGCACCCTTGGGCAGCACCCCAAGTTCACTTCAATTCGCAAAGACCATCCAGAGGTATTCCATCCAAAGTCACAGTAGTACAGATGGCCCCACAATTCCTTATTTTAAACACACAGACCCTCATAGACCCCCCTAAACCACCACCCCATACCCCCGAGAGCCTGCCGCCCCCACAAATACCTTCACACATGAACGGCGTCCCCCGATGCCCATGCCAGCTCAGGCAGCCCATCCTAAGTCACCCTATCCTAACACAAGGATAAGCATGCACATGCTCCAGCCCCCTCCCAAGTCATAACCAGTGGGCCACCTGACCCTCAAAGACACCAGACTCACCGCTGGAACAGTCAGGCCCTCCCCAGCCAGGCTCACAGTGGCAGGTATCTGGGGAGACACAGCGGCCGTGCACGCACTCCTCCGTACACAGGGCTGAGGGGCGTGGAGAGAGGGAGAGAGAACAGAACAGTGAAAACCAACCCCTGGGCGAGGAGCAACACCCACCTTGTCATAGCTCCCCGGTGCCAGAGATGCTCAGGACGAAAAATCAAGTCCCTCATGGTGCGAGTGGCCTAGCTCTGAAATGAACTGATGTCCAGTGTCACATCCTAAGATGAAACCCAAGCCCAAGAAATGGGCCTCAGTGGCTTTTCAAAACTAGCCCCTCCATACGCTTAAACCTCTGAAGTACTCTGCAAACCACTGTCCCACTCCTGTGCTCCCACCCCACCTGCTCCATCAGTCACCTGTTCCTTTCCTTTTTCCGGCCTCAACTTCTTTCTGCAAAGGCGCCCAAATGTACCAGGCTGCCGGAAGAGAACGGGCACCTTTCCCCCACCTTTCTGCCCCCCCCCTCCCCAATTGTCCCTATTTTGGGGCTCTCAAATGTCAGCAAATCTGCAAAGTACACAAATGCTGGGGAAAAAGCAACAGCTAATTATAAGAAAGTAATTAAGAGAGACATCCACGATGATGATAATTGTAATTAGAAAGCGCCTGGCAATTTCTTATCACGCAGTCAAATGCTCCCGAGCCACGAGGCTGCAGCAGCAAGCAAAGGTTCCGTCCACGCCAGCGCCAGGGAGGCTTATTGACAGCAGGGTGAAGGGGGAGATTATTTCTTTCTTCTTTTGACAGAATCCACATTTTCTCAAGGTCATCCTTTGCTCCTGAGAGATCTGCCCCACCATCTAATCCATCAGTGAAGGATTAGAGAAAACACCCATTACCAATTTTGAAGGCTTAGGAAATCAGTTGCTACGATGGACCCTGTCAATGTCCCAGGTGGGATCTACATGAAGGGCTTTTTTCCTGAAAGCAACTAGAGACCCTCTCTTTGTCATTTTGGCCTGGGAGGGAAAGTGGGTGGCCCCCTTGGTGAGTTGTCAGGGACTGCCACTGACCTGCCAACACCCTCCACCTGTTCCAATGTCCACTGAGAAGGCACTCCTAGGTTAGATAAGAAGGTCCTTTTTGTGATTGGTATGGTGTCCTTTGGCCCATACCAGTAGAGCCTGACCTTGAACCTGTTGCCTCAAGAGAGCCATTTCAGATGCCCAGGACTCAGTGGTCTGGAGTCAGTCTGTCCACAGCAAGCTTGCAAGGTGACATGTCTGGAGAGGCCTGCCACCAGAGTCCTTCTCTGTACAGGTGGCTTTCAGGGAGAGCATTGGTTTGTGCTGAAGATATCCACAGTACCAGACCCTGCTTCCCCAGAGCCCCAGGAACGGCCAACCCAGCTTTCACTGAAGAACCAGGCTACACCCTCACCCGAGGTGCCAGCTCCACTTAGAGCCACAGTGAGCTGCTCTCCTGGCCACTAGTGAGACCCCAACTAGTCACTCCTGTCCCCACTGGACTTTCCAAACAAGTTTTAGTGGGTCAATGTCCCCAGCACACACTGGACACCAAGTGTCCAGCCCCTAGCTCCCCATCAATGCCAGCCCCTTGGCCCAGACAGCTCCCAGTCTTTGGAGCAGCTCCTTGTCCCCCACCCCCCCCCCACAGACAAAGGCCCTGCACACGCCACAGCTGGGCCCATTTGCATTACAGCTTGTCAGATTAGCTCAGTGACACCTCCAACTGCAGAGAGCAACACCTTGATCCCCGGGGTCTCTGCCAAGACAGTGAGAGCAGGCAGTGAATCGTGAACCTGCCAAGTGTCAGGGCTGGAAGAGACCTCGAGAAAAAAATCATGTACAGCCCTTGACCTTAAACATAGAGAACCTGAGGCCCGAGTGTCGGTGACCTCATGGACAGTGTGCAGCCTCTCGGCCAGGAAGGGAGAAGTTCAAGGATGAAGCTCCTGGAGAGAGAGGCCTCTGAAGGAGGAGGAGGCGAAACACTCAAGACCAGGACCTTTGCCTTTCACGTCTCTCTCACACTGGACCACACGGCTCTGGGGCTGGAAGAGCCAGTGCAGAGTGGGCAGCATAGAGTGCTGCAGCTGTCCCCAAGACGACCAGCAAGGGCAGGAGAAGAGCTACTTTGATATACTGGGTATCTGCGGAGGGAGGGAAAGGGAAGTCTGAGAAGGAGGGCCACATAGTGCCCTGTCACCTTCTCTGCTCTCTGACCCTAGAGAATGGACCACTGGCCTAGCTCCTGCACGTTCTCCCTTGCTGGCAGGGAATGGCCTTTGGATGCTCTGAGCAAGCTCCACATTACACTGCCTTTTCCACGGTCCCCTCCGAAGTTCCAGGGATCTGAGAGACAGTCTGCCAAGCACCTCCTGCCAGACTGCAGACACAGGCCCCGACTCAGACCTGTGTCCAGCACACTAGGCCCTGGTGACTCTGCACATGGGCAGTCATCCCACAAACCTTGGCCTGCGTCCAGGGATATGGCTGTGTCCCGCTCTAGACATCACTGCCCACTTCTGCTTCTTATCATCCTGGTATTATTTCTGTGCTTGTTAAAACCTCAACCCATCATATTTCATAAGTGTTGTTCAGATGGTGTTGAAGCCTGAAATATTGATGGTGAATTCCTGCGGCTCCGATGTCGTGTCTGACGTTTGAGCCACTTGTGTTTGAACACCTGATGGGGAGGGGCTGGGGTGCTGTGGGGAGAGTTGCCTAGGGGGTGATGAAGGTGAGGCTCCGAGGCTCCATTACCCTCCCTGGGGCTGGGGCAGCCCCCTCCTCACCAGGACCCCAGGGAAGCCAGTGGTAGGCAGCCCCTCCACAGAGGCCTAGGGTTTACACACAGCTGACCTAGAGTGGAGGGTCCCCTAAGTTCTTTCTGAGCCATGATCTCACTCTGACTGACAACTGGGAGGGTCTGGGCTAGGGTTCTGCGCCCCCTGGCCTCCTTCTCTGGCTCCTATATCTCTACACAGAGCTTTTGCCAAGTCCCTCTTCCCACTGCTGTGTGTCCATTGGTTCTCAGGGCAGGGACTCTAATGCAGGCTCCCATGTGACCAGCTATGTGACTGGAGGTGGCACTCCCCCTTTCCCAGCCCCATTGAGAAATGTGAATTGCTGCTCTCAGTTCCCCAGCCCCATCTACCCTCCTGCCCCTGTCCTGATCTAATATCCTGGCATGCTACAAGTGTCTTTAGTGAGAAGCAGGACATGGGTGGTTAAGAGCACAGACTGATCCAGGATGCTGGGGCTGGACCCAGGGGTGCCAGGAGCATCTCTAGTGAGCTAGAAGCTATGGTGAGTGAAAGGGGAAAAGGGCCACATGAGAAGGCATTGAGTGCACATGGTCCTCTGTAACCCGGGAGGTCCGTCCAGCCCACTCTCCACACCCAGCTGGGAAACAGACGCAGAAGGGCAAATCCACACAGTTAGCAAGAGAATGTGCTAGATCTGTGCTCCCAAACCTTTTTGTTCCTTATTGCCCCCTCCTCCACAGCAGGATTTTTAGACATTTTTTTCTTAATTTTCCTTCCCATGAAATTCAAATGCCACCAGTACCCCGTGCATCGAGAACCAAGTTTTACCCCTTGAGGAGGCATGTGCTTGATCTCTTCCATTCGCCTCTCCAGACCCACGCCCCACCTTCTCCACCCTCCTCTGCTGGGAAGTGACCTGCATCGATGGCATTAAGGGGCTTCCTTGGCTTCCGGTTTCTGGATGGGAAACAGCAGTGGGTGGGGGGTGGCAGAAGGCAAGGTTCACCCATGAGGAGGCAGCCCGTGGGATGGTCCTTCTCCATTCTGGCTCAAGGTCCCAGCAGGGTTTCCTGGGCTTGGGGATGGTAGTCTCTCCTCATTGTTGACGTGCTTACAAATAACCACCTTCTCACTCACTCTCCTTGGTGGCTCCGCAACGTGCCACTGTTTCTTGCCACAGCCCTAACTGACGGGAGGCCACCCCAAGGTGTGAACTCACAGTGGCCTGCTCTTACCCACAGGCTCCAGTGCCACCTGGACACAGTTTGAGAGAAGAAAGTCCCAGCACCAGCTCTGTCACTGAAGCCCCTCCCTCCAATGGGCCTCAGTTTCTCTGTCTAAAATGACAGGATCTGGATGTTCCCTCCAGCTCTGGAGTGTCAGGGTGCCATGGCAGCAGCTGCTGGCTTTCCGGCTGATTCAAACCACATTTGAGAAGAATCCCGACACCTATGGAGACTGGCATGGGGACAAATGTGCTCTGTGGTGCAGACCATGGACTGGGTCATCAGTCCTGGGGCGGGTGAGCTTGCAGGATCCAGGATGCAGAATGTGGCACAGACAAAGATAGATGAACCAGACTTGGGGTCTCCTCTGCAAACTACTGAGACAACACAGGTCCTTCCCTGACCCAAAGTGGCCCGATCTGTTGATCCTCGCATGTGGGGGGCCTGAATCAATTCTCAGTTCTATTAGCATTCCACCCGAGATGACCCACAAGTCCCTGAGGTGTCGGTGGTAATATATTTTGCTTGGCGGTTTGCAAATGGTCTCACTAGTTAATGGAACGATAAAAATTACTCACATGGAAAGGTCAAGATAAATAAAGACAACTTCCATGCTCCCTGGCCAACTGAGCCTGATACCTAGTGAGGGCAGAAGGCCTAGGGGTCAGGGACAGGGTATCAACCTCCCAGAATTCTATGGCATGTGGCTTCTGGAGCATCCCCTGGACCCAGAGCCCCAAGGCACATTGATCAGCCCACCATTAGCATTCTTGGCAGGAGCCTCAGATCAGGTTGTCATTGGATTCAGCTTAGAAACAAAATGACCTACATCCAAGTGGGCCCAAGTGCCAATTCTGAGGTGACATGCTTAGCATGAGTGATTCTGCCATACCCAAGGTCACACGGCCCATGGCCCATGGTGTGTGTGTGTATAGGGGGACTCAAGGAATCTCCAAGGGGATTTCTAAAACCATTCACAAGATGTGTATCACTCCATCCTTTATAACTACCAACGCCGAGTCCCCTCCACAGTCTGAAGAGTCCAAAAAGCTGGCCCTTCTTCTCAGCATGTCCAGAACTGGCTT